ACCAATGGGTTCTGACTTTTTATCCAATTTGCCAGTCTGTGTCTTTTGATTGGGGCATTTGGGCCATTTTATTCAATGTTAATATTGTTTTTTTTTTTTTTGAGACAGAGTTTCACTCTTGTTACCTAGGCTCAGGCTGGAGTGCAATGGCGTGATCTCGGCTCACCGCAGCCTCTGCCTCCTGGGTTCAGGCAATTCTCCTGTCTCAGCCTCCTGAGTAGCTGGGAATACAGGCACGCGCCACCATGCCCAGCTAATTTCTGTATTTTTAGTAGAGACGGGGTTTCACCATGTTGACCAGGATGGTCTCGACCTCTTGACCTCGTGATCCACCCACCTCGGCCTCCCACTATGCTGGGATTACAGGCGTGAGCCACCGCGCCCAGCCTGAAAGTTCTTTTCTTTAAGGATGTTGAATATTGGGCCCCACTCTCTTCTGGCATGTAGGGTTTCTGCAGAGAGATCTGCTGTGAGTCTGATTGGCTTCTCTCTGTCGGTGACCTGGCCTTTCTCTCTGGCTGCCCTTAGCACTTTTTCCTTCATTTGAACCCTGGTGAATCTGACCATTATGTGCCTTGGGGTTGCTCTTCTTGAGGAATATTTTTGTGGAGTTCTCTATATTTCTTGAATTTGAAATTTGGACTGCCTTGTTAGGCTTGGGAAGTTCTCCTGGATAATATCCTGGAACATGTTTTCGAGCTTGGATTCATTCTCCCCATCATATTCAGGTACACCGATCAAGCGTAGATTAGGTCTTTTCACATAATGCCATATTTCTTGGAGGCTTTGTTCATTTCTTTTCATTTTTTTTTTTTTTTGAGACGGATTTCACTGTTGTTACCCAGGCTGGAGTGCAATGGCGCGATCTTGGCTCACCGCAACCTCTGCCTTCTGGGTTCAGGCAATTCTCCCGCCTCAGCCTCCTGAGTAGCTGGGACTACAGGCGTGTACCACCGTGCCCAGCTAATTTTTGTATGTTTAGCAGAGACAGGGTTTCACCTCATTGACCAGGACGGTCTCGATCTCTTGACCTCGTGATCCACCCACCTTGGCCTCCCAAAGTGCTGAGATTACAGGCTTGAGCCACCGCGCCCGGCACTTTTCACTCTTTTTTTCTCTTGTCTTGCCTTCTCTTTTTATTTCATTGAGTTGATCTTCAATCTCTGACATCCTTTCTTCTGCTTGATCAATCTGGCTATTAAAACTTGTGTTTGCTTCAGGTAGTTCTTGTGCTGTGTTCTTCAACTCCATCAAGTCGTTTATGTTCTTCTCTAAGCTGGTTATTCCAGTTAGCATTTTGTCTAACTTTTTTTTTCAAGGTTTTTGGTTTCTTTGCATTGAGTTAGAACATGTTCCTTTAGCTCAGAAATGTTTATTAGCCACCTTCCGAAGCCTGTTTCTGCCAGTTTGTCTCACACCTCGGTCATGTTGTGATCCTGTGTTGTTGAGGAGTTGTGATGCCTTGAGGGAGAAGAGGTGTTCTGGTCTTTGATGGTTTCATCTATTTTGTGCTGGTTTTTTTTTATTATTTTTTTTGAGATGGAGTTACCCAGACTGGAGTGCAATGGCACAATCTCGGCTCACCGCAACCTCAGCCTTCTGGGTTCAAGAAATTCTCCTGCCTGAGCCTCCCGAGTAGCTGGGACTACAGGCACGCACCACCATGCCCAGCTAATTTTTATATTTTTAGTAGAGACGGGGTTTCACCTTGTTGACCAGGATGGTCTTGATCTCTTGACCTTGTGATTCACCCGCCTTGGCCTCCCAAAGTGCTGGGATTATAGGTGTGAGCCACCGCACCTGGCCTGTGCTGGTTTTTTTTCTCATCTTTGTGGATTTACCTGGCTGTGGTGTCAGGGAGCTGCTTGATGAGGTTGCTTGTCTGCCCGGGAAGGCCAGGTTTCTGTAGTTCTCTAACATCACATTCCTATATAAATTCTGCTGTGCAGTGTCCAGGCATTGCCACTCCTCCAGAGAGAACTCTATGGCCACATTCCTAAATGTCAGCTGTTCCATTTCTAGGCTTCCAGGGGATCCTGGCATCTTAGCTGCGGGTGTCCTATACCTGCAGGTCATAGGGCCACAAAAGGTAGGCATCTAGGAGAACAGGACACAGAGAAGTGAAGACGAGACCCGGAGCTGCGGCTACGGGGAAAGACAAAGGCCGAGCCCTTTTTTTTTTTTGAGAAGTTTTGCCCTTGTCACGCAGGCTGGTGTGTGATGGTGCCATCTCAGCTCACTGCCACCTCTTTTTCCTGGGTTTAAGCAATTCTCCTACCTCAGCCTCCCTAGTAGCTGGGACTACAGGCATGCACCACCGTGCCCAGCTAATTTTTGTATTTTTAGTAGAGACGGGGTTTCACCACATTGACCAGGATGGTCTCGATCTCTTGACTTCGTGATCCACCCGCCTCGGCCTCCCAAAGTGCTGGGATTACAGGCGTGAGCCACTGCACCCTGCCAGTTCATTCCCTATGATGGCTGAGTAGTGTTCTATGATATAGATATGCCAGTTTCTTTATCCTGTTGACAGACATTTGGGTTGTTTTCAGAGTTTTGACTATTACAAATAAAGTTGCTATGGAATATTCATTTACACATATTTTTTGGATACATGCTTTCATTTCTGTTGAGTAAAAACCTAGGAGTAGAACTGCTGGGTCATATGATTGGTGTATGTTTGTTTTTTTTTTTCTTTTTTGAGGCAGAGTCTTGTTCTGTCATCCAGGCTGGAGTGCAGAGGTGTAATTTGAGCTCACTGCAACCTCCACCTCCTGGATTGAAATGATTCTCCGGCTTCAGCCTCCCGAGTAGCTGGGATTACAGGCATATGCCCTCACATCTGGCTAATTTTTATATTTTTAGCAGAGACGGGGTTTCACCATGTTGAACAGGTTGATCTGGAACTCCTGACCTCGTGATCTGCCCGCCTCAGCTTCCCAAAATGCTGGGATTAGCGGCGTGAGCCACTGTGCCTGGCCTTGTATGTTTAACTTTTTAAGAAACTGTCAACCTATTTTCCAAGGAAAGTGTACCATTTTCCAATTGCACCAGTAGCGTCTGAGAAGGAATTAGAGTTTTTATGCATTTATTTTTAATTTTTTCTTTCTTTATTTCAAGAAAGGAATTAGAGTTTTAAGAAAGGAATTAGAGTTTTAAAACTTTAGAAATATCCCATGATGACTGCTTGAACACTCAGCATATGCAAGATCTACAACATCATGGGCTGGAGAAGTTATGTGGGCGTGTGAGGCGCTGGCAGCATATGAACAAGGTATATATACACTAATAAATGCAATGCAGTGTGCAGTGGGTCCAGATAATGAATGTGAAAGGAGGCTGTGGGCAGTTGTAAGGACAGAAAGCTGATGAGAGGAGGTGGCACTCCAGCTGACAGAAAGGAGCAATAAGCAAATTCATTCGTTTGTTTAAATGAACATATCAACACCTAAGCACTCCTGTTCCTATGAACCAACCACTACCTTATCACTCATCTGCCTCCTAGAGCTGCAGTCCCCAACCTTTTTGGTACCAAGGACTTGTTTTATCGATGTTATAAGTAAAATTTTCAGTGCCGCAAAAGAAGTAGTACTCAAATGTCAATTTCCTCAGCAAGGCAAGTTACTTCTATAGAAGGGTGCGCTCATGGAATAATGGTGAGTGCCACCTGGACAAGGGAGGGGAAGGGGTACTTGTGCCTGACGGAGGTCTTCTTTCTGCTGTGTCATTCCCCTATTGGCTGGGGTTAGACCACACAGTCTAGTCTAATTCTGATTGGCTATTTTAAAGGCAGCAGGGGTACAAGCCAAAATGGCAGGGGGAGTAGTTCGGTGGGAAGGATGGTTACAGCAGGTCTGAGCAGGTAGCCAGGGGTGAAAGTAGGTGACAGGAGCAGGGACCAGGATGAGTCAGGACGGAGCAGGGTACTGGGGGAACAGATGTGAACTACTGATTAGAACTGGTGGAAAAGGTTGTTTACTGAAACTACAAGGAAGTTAAACTTTAAAAAGGAGAATAAGAGACCTGAACATACTGACACACTGATTGTTTGAAGAGAAACTTGCAGTTCACTAGAACACAATAGTCCAATAGGATTAGAGCCTGAAAGGGACAGATGATATTTGGTGTTTTGTTTCAATAAGTGCATATTTTACAAAGATCCTCACCCCAAATGACTTAAATTTCATATAATAGTGTTTTTGCGTCTAGTCACCACCTGGAACAACATCCCTGAGGGATGGCTACACCTGCAACCAAAGAATCACCGATTTCCTAGGAGGCCTCACTCCAGGGGGCTGCTCTTCCCTGCTTCTTCCGAACGAGCTGTCTGACTTCTGCGGAAACCACGTTGGTGGGTCCTAAGAAATTTCTCCTTTCCAGGAGGAGCCGAGGCAGGATAGCCTAACGCTTGCTTTCATATGCATCTCACGAAAAATAAGTCTGTTCTCAGAATCTATTCTCGGGCTTTCATCAGCGCTCCACCTCGTATCCATTCCGGGAGCTGGTCGGTAAGGAAGGGCCCAGCGGTGGCCGATCTACTGCAGCTGTTTGGGCCCCGCGCCGCACGCCCCCAGCTTTGGACCCGCCCTTGCCCGCCTCTTGCCCTCTTTGGGGCCCCGTTCCCCTAGGGCATTGCCCGGGGACACCAATTAAATGCATCCTCACACTGTGACTGCCCCTGGGAACGCTCATTTTAAATAAACGCCATGCGGGACGTTGGTTTTGAACTCCTGATCGGCCCACGCCACCTGGCAATATAGTGTACTGCCTACTACCCTTCCAGCTTCGACCATCGCCAGGTCCTGCCCCGAGCCCGGTGCCCCGTTGCGCCCCGTCCCCGCTCCCATCCCCGCCCCGCGCGCTTCTCGGGCACACAGCGCCTCAGCTGACAGAGGTCTTCTAAAGGAACCGGAACTCGGCGGGAGAGCGCACCGGGGGCGGGGGAGGGGGGGCGGCCTATGCCGTGCAGCACTGCGCGTGCGCTTGCGACCTCTGCGTCATTTGGCCGCGCCCAGATTTACGGCGGCGGCCCTAGGTCCAGGAAGCGCTGCTGACGGAGGGACCGGAGGTTGTCCTTGGCAGGTTTTCCTCGGCGCTTCTCCATGGAGGAGGCGGTACGCACGGCTTCACCCCCGAATGCTCGCACCTCTCACTGGACGGCGACGAAGGCGGTGGGCGCGCTAGCGCAGGACTGGGCGGCCCGTGTGGGGGTGTGAGCCGCGGTGCCCCGGGCAGCAGCGCGGCCGGCCTGCGGACTAGGGTGAGGTCGCTACTCCTTCCTTTCAGGCGAGCGCGAAGGGGCTGACTTGCGGGCGAGCCTGCCCATCTTGAGTCGGAGAAGGGTTCTTCAGGCAACTTTCCTTTCCGGGTGTTCTGAGTCGGAAGCGGTTTTCCTGGTAATCCGTGGTGAGGAAACCACCGTGAATCGGACCGCCATTCAGTCGCAGGGAAGCCTGGCTAGTTGGCCTTGTCGGGGACCCGTGTTCATTGAGATAGTTTTATTTGTCTCGGTGAGTTTTAGAAGGTGGCTTCAGCTGCTGTGGGGATCAAAACTGATAGTTAAACAAACCTTAGAAGTCTGCTGTAACGTTTCGAGCCTGGCTGTTTTAATTTCCTAACTTTCGCAAAATCACGGAATCCTATTTTCCTCTCTAAAAACTCGTTGTGTTTAGTTTTGGGTTTGTGCCTCCTTAATTTCTTTTTTTTTTTTTTTCTTTTAACTCCAGAATTTAAATACAAGCCTCCTTAATTCTTTTACTAGGTTGTCATTTCATTTAATACAGGACTGCATGTTAAGTTCTGCTTTTAGAAATTCTGCGTATAGCCATTTGCCCGGCTAATACTTTTTTTTAATAAGGGGAAATACGAGAGTCGAGTTTCCATTCCAGTGAGCTGCCTGTCGAAGCAGTAGTTATGCTCGATTGAGTAGGTTTTTTGTTGATTGGTTAGCAAAATGAGTATGAGCTAGTAACCAAGTTTAAAACGTACTCAGTAACTTTAGTCGTTTTGCCTACCTCTGTCTTTTCTTCTCTCCAGGCTGGAGCTACTCGGCCAGGGTTTAAGACTTTAAATGGGAATAAAGGGTAGTATTTACGAGGAAATGACAGTGAATAAGTCATCTCTAACCTCTTCCAGCCTTTTTTTCATAAGAGAGACCATATTAAACTTACATGTAAGTTAAAATTTTAATTTATAACTAATATTGTTGCCTAGTTAGGGTTGGAGATTTCGGTTCTGTAATATTTATAAGTGCGGTACTGCTTTAAAAACTTATTAGCCAAGTGAGAGGTTGGAAAAAATGAAAGCTAACTTTATGTGTATATTTAATTTTTTTGAGACGGGGTCTTGCTCTGTCCCCAGGCTAGAGGGTGCACTCTGGGCTTACTGCAACTTCTGCTTCCTGGGCTCAAGGGATCCTTACACTTCATCCTCCCCAGTAGCTGGGACCACAGACATGCGCTACCATGCCTCACTAATTTTTGTTAATTTTTTTAGAGCCGGGGGTTTCACTATGTTACAGTTTCGTCTCCAACTCCTGGTCTCTAGTGATCCAACCACCTCGGCCTCCAAAGTGGGGGGATTACAGGCATGAGCCCCGGAGCCGGACCTAAACTAACTTAGGTTGCAGTGGAAACCAAGCAGTAAAGATTTAGTAAAGACTAAGAGCGCTGTGTGTGTGTGTGTATATACACACACACACACACACACACACACACATATATATTTTTTTTTTTCCTGAGAGGGAGACTTGCTCTGTCACCCAGGCTAGAGTGCAGTGGCACAATCTCGGCTCACTGCAACTTTGGCCTCCTGGGTTCAAGCAATTCCCCTGTCTCAGCCTCCGAAGTAGCTGGGATTTACAGGCTCCCATCACGTCGCCCGGCTTATTTTTGTATTTTTAGTAGAGACAGGGTTTCCCCAGGTTGGCCAGGATAGCCTGGAACTCCTGAACTCAGGTGATCCGCCTGCCTCTGCCTTCCAAAGTGCTGAGATTACAGGCTCGAGCCACCGCGTCTGGCCTAAGAGCTCTAAAATTTCAATGTAATTTGGGCAGCTGGGAGTAGTCCCTTTCTGTGTGGTCCTCTTCATGTGACTCTTTTGCCTCTGGGAGGTTTGGTTTCTTAGCTGTAAAGTGATCTTTCATCTCATTGTGTAGACTAGAAATGAGTAGAAATGATGCATGAAACAGTGCCTCGGTCGTCGGTGCTCAGTAAGTGGTAGCTGTGGTTAGGGAGATACCATAATAATAATTTCACATGTTTTCAGAATATTTCTAATATGTTAATACGGTTTATTCATATTTAAAATGCATGACTTTGAATATTACATTTTTTTCCCCATAGAAGGTATAATAAGCTTAAACTGATTTGATTGCTTTACATTGTGATATTGAATAGAAAGATAAGACTTCCCTAGAGGATAAAAGGTAGGGTGGGAGTGGGAGAGGAAATGGGAGATTTAGGTCACAGGATACAAAGTAGCAGATATTCAGGATGTACCACTTGAGAACTACCTTAATGAAATTAGAGATTTTCCTTAAAAGAGTGGATTTTAGCTGCTTTTGTCATAAAAAAGTATATGAAATGATAGGTATGTTGATTTCCTCTACTATAGTAACATAGTTTCCCATCCCGTAAATCTCAAATATACACAATTTAAAAAGGTTTATCCGTTTTGTAGAATTAAAAGCACCCCTCAGACTAGAGCATGCTTAGTCTTAAACATTTCTGCATATCTAACTGTATTTGTTTTATGTAAATAAACTTGAAATAGAACTATTTAAATAGTTATATAATGATTCCAGATGAAAATAAATTATGATCTGGCCAAGTAAATGGGTTGGAGATCTGTTCCATGCCTTTTGGATTTGGTATGGCCCATAGGGCCTCATGTGATCTCACACTCACCTTTTTTTTTTGAGACAGAGTTTCGTTCTTGTTGCCCAGGTTTCACCATGTTGGCCAGGCTGGTCTCGAACTCCTGACCTCATGATCTACCTGCCTCGGCCTCCGAAAGTGTTGGGATTACAGGCGTGAGCCACCATGCCCCGCTGACATTCACCTTTTTACTCTAATGTGGTATCTCGCCTACCCTCAATCACGGTCAGCCACAGTGGCCTTTGTTTTCTTAGAAAACTGCACACCTGCTCATGCCTCGAGCCTCTGCACTTGTTTCTCTCTCCCTTGTTCTTTTCGAAAAGCTCTTTCAAGCTTTTACTCAAGTGTTACCTGCTCAGAAAGGCCTAATGACAATAATTAAAAAGAGTCCCCCATCTCAACTCCCCAGTGCCCTTAACATGTTGTCTGTTTCACCGTAACATTTGCCACTTTCCAGAATAATGTATTTATTTCGTTTTTATTTTGCCCTACCTCTCGCAGGAGATAAACTCCATGTGGGCTGTTCTACCCCTGCTCCTAGAATATTGTGTGTGCTCATTAAATGTTTGTTGGTTTAGTAAATGATATATGCAAGCCTCATGTTCACTGGGAGCCACAGCGAAGGCAGTATGAGTATAAAAGTACATAACAGAGGGGTAGTTAGTGTAAACAAAACATGGTGGAGGACAGGTAGGAGCAGGTCAGAATAGTAGCAGAGCGCGGACCTGGATAGAACCGAGATGTGTGAAATAAGGTCCCACAGGTGTGGGAAATAAGGTCTAAAACGGAGGTTTGGAAGAAATGGTGAAGGGTCTTCATTACTAGGTTACACAGTTTGGTCTTCTTGCTACCAACAGGTGTAGTGAATCTAAATTTTTCAGAAGGCTGAGATTGGCAGAGATGTGTTTTATAGAGTAGCATGGCAGCATCATGTGTTTAAGCTGCACTAGGGCCAGGAGAGAGGGAGGTGCAGGGTCTGGTGAGGCAGATCATGCATGAGGCTATATTTCAAAGGTAGAATCCATTTGGCACTTGGCCCTTGTATTCACTTTGGGTGATGAGGAGAGTGAAACTATTGTCAGTACAAGGAGGAGCAGGTGGGGCAGGCAGGACAGTGACCTGTACTGAGATCCTGCTTTGAGCTGCCACTTGCTTGTGTTCCACCTCTGGGGCTCCTTTTAGGAGACTCCATTGCGGAAGGCAGAAGGCTAAGTATGAGGAGGCCTGGATTCTGCTTCTGCTACCCCAGCTGTGTGACAAGTTAACATCTGTGGACCTGGTTCCTCATTGTGGGCCCTCACCACATACCTTTTTAAGCCTTTGTTGAAATGTCGCAAGTGCTGTAATGAGTTTCATGTTGTGTATGGTACTTCAGTTGGTGTAATTGTTTTGTTTTTTTGAGATGCAGTCTTGCTCTGTCGCCTAAGCTGGAAGTACAGTGGCGCAGTCTTGGCTCGCTGCAACCTCTGCCTCCTGGGTTCAAGTGATTCTCCTGCCTCAACCTCCCCAGTAGCAGGGATTACAGGCACTTGCCATCACGGCTGGCTAATTTTCCTAGTTTTGTAGAGACAGGTTTTCACCATGTTGGCCAGGGTGGTCTTGAACTCCTGACCTCAGGTGATCTGCCTACCTCGGTCTCCCAGAGTGCTAGGATTACAGGCGTGAGCCAGTGCACCCCACCCAGTTGGTGTAATTTATAAAGTTTGCTAACTTTGGTGATTGTGTTGCCTCCTGATAGTCATTTTGCAAAGCAGGTCCTAATTTAGGTTTTCCTCATTAGAATACTAGTCCATTTTGGCCGAGTGTGGGGGCTGACGCCTGTAATCCCAGCATTTTGGGAGGCCAAGGTGGGGCGGATCACCTGAGGTTGGGAGTTCAAGACCAGCCTGACCAACATGGAGAAACTTCGTCTAATAAAAATACAAAATTGGCTGGGCGTGGTGGTGCATGCCTTTAATCCCAGCTATTCGAAGGCTGAGGCAGGAGAATTGTTTGAACCTGGGAGGCTGAGGTGGTGGTGAGCCAAGATTGAGCCATTGCACTCCATCCTGGGCAACAACAGGGAAACTTTGTCTCAAAAAAAAATAAAATAAAAAGAATACTAGTCCATCTTTGCCTGTTCCTTAAATTATGTGTTTTCCACATTATTTAAGAAGGTGGACCAATTTCGTAATTTTGTTTTCTTTGAGATTTGTTTCATTCTTGACATGCTTTATATTTAGTGAAAGTGTACAAGTATGAGTAAAATCAATTGTGAAAATTGAGTTTTTTAAAATCTAGAGAGAACAAGCAGAACAAAAACATCAGCTGGGTGTGATGGTGCGTATCTGTGGCCCTGTGGGTCCAAGAGGCTGAGGTGGGAGACTACTGCAGCCCAGGCATTCGAGGCAGCACCACTGCAGTCCAGACTGGGCCACAGAGTGGGGCACGGCCTCAAAACACCAAGAAAACACCCCACACATAAAGAATGATAAGCAGAAAATCGTAAGGTTCTTTAAAAGTGTTTAAAACTTCAATAGTTTCTTTTTGGAATTTTTAATTCTGTTAGTTGTGGAATATCTGAGGATAGTCCCTTTGATCATCTTCACAACTTTAGTGCCTGGCAAATAATGGCTGCTCAGTGTTTTTTGAGC